ACTCTTTCCTCCCGAACAATTTCTTATGCTGGTGACCTCGTGTTTGAAATTCACAAGATCAAGCACTGTGTGGAAATGTTATGTGCACTACCATATCCACAAGGGATCATCAATGAGTTCACGGAAATGTATATTATGAAAAAGCTATTCATGGGTTTAAGAATTATTGTATACTCAAATAAATTTGCACTTTATATATTTTTTTTACATTTTTATTTATTTATTTATTCCATGAGTAAAAGAGAGGCACCCCAACATAGTCTTCATGCCATGCTCTACCTTCAGCTTCAGCCAGCCAAGATCACAAGCATTCACTTATGTGCACAGTGTGTACAGGGAGGCCCTGGGGTATGAACCCAGGACCTTTCCTATGTGGGTCTGGTTGCATCACTGTCATAACATCCCCCCCCCCCAGTTCTCTAAACTCTTACTTTAATTCCATTTTCCACAAACTTATTGAAAGCTCTTCTATCTGCACAGCAATTCTAGGCAACAGCTGTTTACCCTTCCTCAGAAATGGGAAAAGAGGGACCAGCAGTTAGCGTAATGGCTATGTTGCTGGACTCCCATGTAGTCGACCGCGGTTCAAGTCTTGGACCCGGTGGCTTAAACTCACGCCGGGCACGTGTGCGTGCATGCCCAAGATCCTGAGAGGCGAATAGAGGAGAAGAGATTGAGGCATGGCCATCCCCCGGGGGGTGATTTCTTCTTTCTGTCTCTTTGTCTCTCTGTCTTTCTGGTGAGTGCACACTCCCCATGGCAGAAACCTCTCAAAAAAAGAAATGGAAAAAGAAAGGTTTGGAGATGTAAAATCACTTGCTAAGATGATATGTCTAAAATGGTCAGAGCTGGCTTAGTACCCCAGCTAGCCTGCCTCAAATACACAGGTCTCTACCACAGCCCTAAACTGCCAGGGACAGCATCTAGCCCCTAAGGCTACATGATCATGGCTCAAGCTCTCTTCAGGCTTGTTTCCAGTTCCCTGCAGGCACTAGGTAGTGTTCCTTCTGTCAGGAGTTCCCTCCCCACTTCCTGCCCCACCACACAGTACTTTAAAGCTCAGCTCAGGAATCACCTCCGCAGGGAGAACTTGTGACTGACTCTTTTGGGCTGGGTCAACCACTGCTCCTCTGCACCCGGGATAGACCTGTGCGTATCCTGTTCTTGTTTCCACTCACTGCTGTCTTCAGGAGCCCTTGGGGATCAGGGGCTCTGCTTGTCATTGCTCTCTAATACCTCGCACCAAGCCTGACCCATCTATGATGGACGTCCATAACATCCACGATGATTGTCTTGACCTGCTTTCTGTAAGCGCTTTTATATGCTCTCTTCATTCAGTCTTGGACTGTAAACACCCTGTGGGCAGGCACTGTGTTTAACTGGCTTCATACACCAACTGCTTGGCTATAGTCTAAGTGAACCCTTAAGAATTGTGTATGGAAGGACTAGCAGATAGTGTAAAAGTTATGTCACTTGATTCTCACATAGTTAGCTGAGGTTCGAGTTCAGGACCCGGTGGCTTAAAACTCATGCCGGGTGCATGTACATGTGTGCCCAAAATCCCAAGAGGGGAGTAAAGGAGAAGGGATTGCAGCATGGTCATCCCTCCTGGAGGGTGATTTTTCACTTTCTATCTCTCTGTCTCTGTCTCACCGTTGAGCACATGCACCCTATAGCAAAAACCTCTCTCTTAAAAAAAATGTGTGTGGAAAAGTGATTACAATTTTTGCCCCCTTTACTTTGGATACAGATGCAAGCCTAGAATTACGGGGCGGCAGTGTGACCGATGTGCTTCTGGGTTTTACCACTTCCCTGAATGTGTTCCCTGCAATTGCAACAGAGATGGGACTGAGCCAGGAGTGTGTGATGCGGTGACAGGGGCTTGCCTCTGCAAGGTAAGATGTGGTGCACACTGCTGGGGATGCCAGCTACCATCAGGGAAAAAGTCCTTCCTGTTGAGTCAATATATAAAAATTGGTGGGAAATGGGACTGACCCATGATAGATTTCCATGATATCTGCAGCAATATGTAGTCGTTATCTCATTTGATGGAAATAGTTAGAAGGGAAGACCCATCTCATCCTTTGGAGGGGCCACAGGTCCCCTTGATAATATTTTTTTCTTTAATTCCCAGATGGTATGTGTGTCCGCCAGAGAAAGATAGAGAGAGAGAGACCCCCACAAGGGGTCACACTGCAATCCATTTTCCTCTAGTCCTCCATTCTGTGCCCCTTTTGGGACACACACACACACACACACACACAGTGTGTTTTACAGGCCACTAGGACTGTGGTCAGCTATGTGGGAGCTGGCTCCCAATGCATAGCACTTAACCATCGTGCTATAGTGCCAGACCCCATACCCTCAGTGAGAATCTGAAAGTAGGTATAGATCCTCTCCAGAAAAAATCAACACAGATATTTGTCTATAACTTCAAGAGGCTCATAGGTTCCCTTAAATCCTGTTCTGGCCCATGTATCCCAGATTGTCATCTCTTCCCTGGCATTCTGCCAGGTTGAAGGTGAGCTCACAGTTCTCAGCAGATGTTATGAGGTGGCGATGAATGGAAAGAATTAGTATCCCTATATTGTGAGTCCTTCTGAACAATCTCTCTGCCTTTAAAATGCCAAGGGCATCTTAAGAAATGTAGGGAATTCTCTCTTCCATTTGTATGTGGTATAAAAGTTTAAGTGGACCAACAGATAGCATGGGGGTTAAGGCAGCTGGATCCCACATGGCTAACGGTGCAGTTCAAGTCCTCTACCCGAAGCTTGTACCACCCTCTGGCACATGTGCATACTCAAAATCCTGAGAGAAGAATGGAGGAGAGGAGATTTCAGAATGGTCATTCCCCTGGGGAATGACCTCTCACTTTTCCTTTGTCTCTAGTTTTGTCTCTGTCTCTGTCTCTGGTGAGCTCATATGCCCTATAGCAAAAAATAAAAAAAGGTTTAAGCAACTGAAGTGTAAATGTTTAATGATGGTGTATCTTTTAATGTTTTGTTAAATCCGTGTTCTAACATGTGTTGATATTTAATTTGTACGAGTAGCTAATTGCAGTCAGGGAAACTTTGGAAGGATGAGCTTTTGTTCCACTGTGTTTTGTTTCTATAGGAAAATGTGGAAGGTACAAAATGTAGTATGTGTCGAGAAGGATCATTCCATCTGGACTCAGCCAATCCCAAGGGTTGTACCACTTGCTTTTGTTTTGGAATAAATAATCGTTGTCACAGTACACATAAAAGAAGAGCCAAGGTATGTTAAGAAGTATAGTCTTGGGAGCAGCAGATGGTGTAATGGTTATGTTGCTGGACACCCACATAGTTGACTGTGGTTTGAGTCCTGGATGCAGCAGCTTGAAACTCTTACAGGGTGCATGTGGGTGTGGGCCCAAAATCCTGAGAAAAGAATGGAAGTAAAGGGATTGCGGTTTGGTCATTTCCGCTGGAGGTGGGGGTGACTTTTTGTTTGCTGTCTGTCTGTCTCTTTTGGTCCTGTCTCCCTGGTGAGTGCATGGGCCCTATAGCAAAAATCTCTCAAAAAAGAAAAAGAAAAAGAATCATATTCTTTGTGCTTTTATTCAGTATCTCTGGGGGGGGGGCAGGGAATGAATTGTCCTGAAGTGTGAAACTTTTTGTATATTGATTGGTTAAAATTGTAAGCATTGCCCTCGCTCTTCTTTGGCCTGCAGTGTTTTTTCATTCTTGTTCCCTGAATTCATTACGTCTCTGTTCAAATGTCACAAGCTCAGAGGAGCCTTCCCCGTACATAGTATATTGTGGGCACTCTGTGCTCTTGCACGTTTTCCCCCTTAGCACTTAGGTATTACACATTGTTTTCTAAGATTTATTTTTGAATTTTATTTTTTATTATTGTTTTTTAATTTGCCCAGAAAGAGTCAGAGAGAAAGAGAGAAAGGGAAAGTTAGAGAGTAAGCTACCAGGTCTAGGACTTCTACCACGGTCAGCCATGTGGGAGTTCAGTGCCTTAACCACACTGCCACCTGCTGGGCCCTACACATTTTGTTTTAATATTTATTGTCTGTTTTCTGTCATCGCTACAGATGACACAACAGATGCCAAATAAGTACTCACTAAATGAATGGTGTTTTTGTTCTCCCTGCCCCCTTAAAAGAAAACCCTGGGGCCAGCCCCATGGCCTAGTAGGTAAGAGAACTTGATTTCACATGGCCAACCAAAGTTCGAATCTTGACCTTGGCTTGGTGGCTTGAAAAACACACTGAGTATACGATCATGAGTGCCCAAATTTCTAATGGGATGGAGAAATGGAGGAGAAGGGACTGGGGGGTGACAAACGGGGGGGTGCTTTCTCCCTCTCTCTTTCTCTCTGTCTCTGTCTGGGGAACTCACATGGCCACAGGCGTTTAAAAAATAGAAAAGAAGGAAAGAGAAGGAAAAGAAAAAGAAAACCCTGGTTCCCTACTCACAACACTTCTAATGCCAAATGTGTGGAGTTTCTTGTTTATCTTTTCTTTCCTTTCTTTTTTTTTTTTCTTTAGGTTTTTCCCAGAGAGCGCATGCACTTGCCAGTAAGAGACAGAGAGAGACAGTGAGAGGAAAGTTAGAAATCATCCCCCAGGGGGATGGCCATGCCACAATCCCTTCTCCATTTTCCTCCTGGGATTTTAGTCACATGTGCATGTGCACCCGGTGTGATTGTTAAGCCACCAGGTCTGGGACTCAAGCCTGGTTGGCCATGTAGGACTCCAGCACCTTAACCACTCTGCTACCTGCTAGCACATGGAGTTGTTTTCTATTCAAGCAATTCTCTAGCTCTCTCTGGACACCAGCTGGATGTCTGCAATTCAGTTCTGACACAATCTACTGGTAGCACAATCTGAAGATAGTATCCATCAGACTCCACCAGTTAAGGACTCAGTCCCACACGATGCCAGTCACAAGCCCTGGGCCTCAGGTTGGTCCTGACTGCCTCAGTTACAAATGACTTTTTCCAACTCCCTCCTCAGGAAAACCATTCATTTTCTATTTCTGATTTATTATAAAGGTTACAGATGATAGCCAGAGGAAGAGGTGCATTGAGTAAGGTCCAGAGGGTCTCAGTTCCCCGGGGAGTTGGGGCATGCCACCTCCCTAGCATATGGATGTTTACCAACCCTAGAGCTCTACAAAACTAACACTTGGGGATTTTATGGAGATTCCATTACGTAGGCATGATTGATTAAATCATTAGCCGTGGGTAAATGAAGGAGTCTCCAGTCCCTGTACCCTCCCCTGAGGTGGGACAAGGAGCCGAAAGTCCCTACCCTTTCATTCTGCCTCGTCTTGCTGGTTACCAGCTCTCTTTCTGAAGCTACCTGGGGACACAGGACACAATCATATTACTAGCATACCACAGACACTCATTGCTTTGAAGATTTCAAGGCTGTTAAAAGCTCTAGTATCAGGACTAAGACCAAATATTATGACAAAAGATACCCTATGACCTCTATTGCTCAGAAAATTAAATGACTTTTAGGAGCTGTGGGCCAGGAACTGAGGACCAAGACCAGATAGATATATTTTTATTATGTCACAATATCACATTCCTCATTTTTCTTATTATTTTTTTCCTGTTTTACTTTCCTTCTCACCTATTTTGCCACTTCTTTTTTTTAGCCATTTTTAAAATTAACTTCATGAGACTAAAACTTACTGTCTTTATTATTCCATGAAGCAGAAAGCTTGCTGTCTTTGTGTGAGTAATGTCTTATATCTAACAAGTATCAAGGAAAGATTATTTAATATATTTTACTGCCTAACCTCCTAAAAGGAAGGCAGGCTGGGACTGAGAAAAAAATTAGTTTGTAAATCCATTCTGAAATCTCCTCTCCTTATCCCCAGGGAACCAGAAGGCACTATTCCTAACCTGCTCCTTGTCAGCTCTTTTCTTTTTTCTTTCCTCAAAGTTATTTGGCTTCTTTTATAACCAGGGACATAGTTAATTTTGATATTCCATTTAGAAAAGAATAATGACAGTAGCCCATTGTGTTCTATGTCATATCTTTCCTTATAAGGAGCTTACCATTAAAATGTGCCCACAGCCCTAGTTATTATTCATACATGTGTTTATTATTCAAACATTCACTGAGCACCTACTATAAATGTCAAGAAGCAAGATGTGTCCTGCTTTCCACACGGGTATGGTCACTGACCGTAGAGAATTCCTGGAAGCAGTGGGTCAGATGGGGGCAGTGGCGGGAGAGGGCTTAGTAGTAGGGGAGAGGGAAGGCAGCTCAAGAGGAGACACATGAAGAGGGCCTTGAAGCAAGAAGGCTGCCCCATGGCTCTAGGCATTGTACATAATACAGTCATGGCTGAAGAAGCCACAGCCACACATTTCCACCCCTTGCTTCTATGTTCCAGTTTGTGGATATGATGGGCTGGCGCCTGGAGACAGAAGACGGAGTGGACATCCCCGTCTCATTCAACCCGGGCAGCAACAGTGTGGTGGCGGATCTCCAGGAGCTGCCCTCAGCAGTCCGCAGTGCATCTTGGGTAGCACCTCCTTCCTACCTGGGGGACAAGGTAACCAATCATGTCTTGTTATTCTTGGATCCCCGTAGGCCTCTACTATCACTGTGTGAGTGTCATTTCCCAGGAGCCTGAAAGGAAGCCTCGAGAAGTTCAGATGGTCCTAACCTTTATGGCCACTTTGTCCTAATGTTTACGACCTTAGGGTGGCCAGTGGCGGTGGTGCAGTGGGGCTGGGTCCACGTGAGAAGGCCCAGGTTCTCGTCTTGAAGTCTTCCTGCACACTACGCGATCCTGGCTGGCTGAGGTTGGGGCAAGACCGTAGTGTGAGGACTCTGTTGTGTGTGCCCCCCTCTCTCTCATGGAATGAATAAATAAAGTTAAAAAATTAGGCTAACTGAAAATGAAGAAGATCCCTTGCCTCCCACTGTGAGAGGCTGTGTAAGCATCTCATCTTGTGTGCCCACCATAGGTGAGCTCACTACCAAAGGAAATAATGCAGTATTTTCCTCCATTTTACTTAGTGCTAGAGAATTTTCCTCCAGGGTGATAATCATTTAAATAATATCTATTGCAAATGGGACATGTATGCTTTTAAATGCTAATGGCTAAGAATTCTTTGTTTTAAAGCAGAAGAAGGGCTCTTTGTCAGGAAAACAAAGGCTGAGAAATGACTCATAAGCTTATTAAAAGAAGAACAGGATCCAGTGGCAGTCTGACTTTCATAAGCAGAATCACGTGCATTTAGTTACCCATCCTCCAGGAGCTTGTAAACCTAGGTGCTCTTCCTGTGCTGCTTCAATTATTACTGCAGAGCCTGGCCAGCTACACTCATTCTCCAAGGGCAGAAATGAAGACTTTAGCCCTGCGCTAGCAGTGCATGTTGCTTAGATGCTGTGCTCCACAGGGTGGGAACATATGGGAGACCTGAGTTCAATCCTTGGTCCATCCTAAAGGCTGAGTGCAGTGACGTGCATCTATAATCTCAGAGACTTGGGAGGCTGAGACAGGATGATCATGATTAGATTGAGACTGGCCTGTGTGCATAGAGAGACCCTGTTTAAAACAGAACCAAGTGTGGTGGTATATTCTGGGAGGCTGAGGCAGGAAGATTGTGACAGTAAGACTCTTTATCTAAAAAAATAAAAGAAGGAATGGTGACATACACTTCTTAGCAAGGGTAGAACTTCGGAGAAGGGTGGATTTCACAGGGCCCAACTCAGAGAATGCCATATTCTCTCACGCTATATATTAGGCCTTGTCAACCTGAGGTCTCTGATTCTGTCTTCTGTTGAAGAACCATAGTTTTTTTTTTTTTTTTTTTTTTTTGGGGGTT